TAACTGTCGCATCCAACTGCTCACGGAATAAGGCAGCCATCTGCCTGCCAACCTGAAACTGTTTTGGTAGATGGAAGGTACACATGAAGGTAAAACATAAAAAAAAGGCTGTTAAACACAGAAAAATGTGTGTAGTCACACTAATATATTTAAAATAAGTCATCAGCAAACCACAACACACACACATACACACACACACAGAGGCATCTTTTGTACTAAGAAAGGAAGAATTGTAAAGTAATACTGTATTTGTGTTAAGTGTTTTATGTATTTGTTCATCATTATGAATTTCAGCTTTTTGTTTATTACATTGGGCTTCCCTTCCTGTAGAAAGCAAAAAAGAAAAGAGAGAGAGAAAGAGAGAGAGAAGAAGAAGAAGAAGAAGAAGAAGAAGAAGAAGAAGAAAAAGAAAGAAAGAAAGAAAGAAAGAAAGAAAGAAAGAAAGAAAGAAAGAAAGAAAGAAAGAGGCTGAGACTGTGTTAGAACCGGCTGCAGTCTGTGCCTTTTCCTACCGCATCCTTCCTTCCTGCGTTCTTCACTGCACCACCCTCCCTGCCTGCTCATGCCTTTACTTCTCACCCTTCATGGCATTTCCACAAGCGTTTTCATATCTAATCCTGTGTTAGTGTCTGCTTCTCAGAGGATGAAAAAATATACATATATATATATATATATGAGACATGATCACTGCCTCAAAGAACACACAGTCTCTCTGGAGAAATTGTTCAGTGGTTAGAGCGTTGTCCACGCACTAGCGAGGGTGGGGCGGTGGGGGATGGGGTCTCAGGTTTGTTTCCCACCCAGTCAAGGGCACGTTCCTGGGTTGCAGGTTCCATCACTGGTCCCAGAAGTGCATGTGGGAGGCAACTGATTGATGTGTCTCTCTCTCTCTCTCTCTCTCTCTCTCTCTCTCTCTCCTCTTCTCTTCCCTCCCTCCCTTTCACTCTCTCTAAAAATCAGTGGAAGAAACATCTTAGGGTGAGGATTAATAACAACAGATATATATAAAAAATTCCATTACTTGCAGTAGATATGAAGTGTCTTGGCAATGCAGATAAGGGAACAACTGTTCTGTCTGGAGTAGATGAGTACATATTAAAGAAAAGTACAAGGAAGAGATGACTTTTAGTTTGGACCTCAAAGGAATAGTTAGAATGATTGAGATAAGGGTATTTCAGAAAAAGTGAATAACATTAGCAATGATACGGGGGGCATAAACGTGTTTAACGTGTTCATGGAAAGAAGTTCTTGTTCATTTCTGGGAAATTGCCTCACTGTTATCACACTTTTTTTTGGAAAACATAGGTCAGCAAAGCATACTTTGTTCAAAACTTCCCTACAGTCACAGTACTCCCATGAGCAGGGGAAGCCAGCTTCACCTCTCCTTTTCCCGCCCTCCTACACGCCACTGCCGTCTGTACTTCCTGCACACAACATGTGCCGGGCACAGACAGTCAGAGAAGATCCACAGACATGGTGTGACATAGGAGGTTCTGAGAAAAACAGAAGTCTACAGGAAAATGAGAGGCTGTCTTGTCCCCATTATTTATTTCCTTTCTGAGAGACAGAATATATGTATATAAATAAATGAAATGAGAAGGACCGGTCTATGGTAAATTATATGAGAAGGAGGCCAAGCTACTGTTAATACACTCTGTGATGATCCAGTCCTGCTGAAAACCTTCAAGGAAGGTGCATCCTTGGCAGAAACATTCCTGCATTTCCAGGGAAAATTTTTTAACCCGACTATTTATTATGAGAGGTGTGCAAGGTGTTGAAAATTTTGGAAATGCAGAAACATAAATAAGAAAATGCAAACCACCCATCACTCTGTGTATGTATAGAATATGCTAGAAAGAAAAAAGCTAACACAGCATGGAACATGTTATAAATAGCTTGTATCACTTATTATTGTATTCGGAGCTCCTCTTACTATCAAGAAAATTTTTCTGCTTTATTTCTGCAATAGTTTCCTCTTATAATTCTTTGCTCTTTCTTCCTTTTCCTGGTTTTTCATTTTATAATCCCACTCTTAAATCTCCACTCATTCAACCTGGTCTTCCAGCATGGCAAGGTGGTCATTCCCTGGTGTCCACTATTGCCCATGCACTGATGGCTCCCTTCACGACTATCCTTGAAAACCTCAGCCCCGTGTTTTCTTTTTTTTTTATCCTCACCCGAGGACATTTTTCGATATTTTGTTCAGATAGAGTGAGAGGGAGAGAGAGAGAGAGAGAAACATCGACGTGAGAGCGACACATCGAGTGGTTGCCACCCACACGACCCAACCAGGGCTGGGGACAAACTGCAACCAAGGTACTTGCCCTTAGCGGGAACCGAACCCGGGTCTCTCCGGACCGCAGGCCAATGCTCTAACCGCTGAGCCAAACCGGCCAGGGCTGTGTTTTCTAATTAACTATTAAAGATTTCAACTTGAATATCTCACACATAACTCAAACTCATTCTATCAAAACAGAACTCAATTCATGACATGACCCTCAAATCAACTTCTATTAATGCATTTCCTTAGTTTTTAGAAAAGGATTGGTTAGATACTGAAGCCAGGAGGTTATTATTCTTGCCTTCTTTCTTTCTCACTCCTAATGTCCATTGGTCGCTAAGTATGACCTTTTCTATGTGCAACCATCTCTCCATTGTTTCCTCCTCTCCAGTACATTTGACGTGGCTTTTGTAAGGGGTCCTCAGCATCTCTCATCTGTACTGTGGTAATGAGTCCTAAATTTGTCTCCTTCCACTACCTCCACCCATGCCTATATCAAGGACTGAACACAAGATAAAGAATGAATTTAAGAATAGATTGCTTTCTCAAGAAATTTTGCAGAGCAGGAAAGATAAAAAAAATTTAAGAACATAAAAGGAGACAGGGTTAAGGCAAAGTTGTTTGTTTTTTAATGTGGAGAAATTCAAAGAATATTGGTAGACATCAAGGAAAAGAGTTCTTTCATGCCTGCACTGTAAGAGAGGGTAAACACGCTGTTTCCCTAGAATGTGGGAGGAATGAGATCCCTTAAAAACCCTAGGACATGAAGGAAAGGAAGGAAGAATAGGTCAAAAATCTATATTTGAGGCCACTATCGAGAGGCACTGAAGGAGTTTACATTCCTTGAATTCTCAATTAGGTTATCTGGTAAAGATGAAGGAAAGAAGGGAAAGGGGGACCTTTGAAAAGACTGGCAAAGCTTGTGACATCTTGATGTTGAATACTGGTGAATGAAATTGGGTAAGGTTAAGCAGTTATTTGTTAACAGGTTCACCATTGCCAGCCACACCTAGCAAATACCTAGACCCTAACAGGCCCTCAGTAAACATCATGTTAGGCACCACAGTGACAGAAACCAGGTCTTATTCATACAACTAGTACTGTGTTTGATCATTGTAGAAACTCAAGTCAAAAGTGTAAATTGGGCCCTGGCCAGTTTGGCTCAGCGGTTAGAGCGTCGGCCTGCGGTCCGGAGAGACCTGGGTTCGGTTCCCGCTAAGGGCACGCTAAGGGCACGTACTTCGGTTGCAGTTTGTCCCCGGCCCTGGTTGGTCATGCGGGTGGCAGCCACTCGATGTGTCCCTTCACGTCGATGTTTCTCTCTCCCTCTCCTTCCTCTCTCTCCCTCCCACTCTATCTGTAAAATATCCTCGGGTGAGGATAAAAAATAAAAATAAAAAAAAGTTAACATAAAAAAAAGTGTAAATTGGTCTATAGAAAATTACATAAAAACATTATTCACCACATTCTCTAAAACTGAAAACTTTTCATATTTTCCCTTAAAGATGAACTTTATCAGAAACAGAAACAATTCATGTAATCTCAGAGATCTGTTAATTCAATTCATTCTTAGAAAATATTTAAATCTTTAAAAATTAGATAATCCCCTTATGCTTACTGACAGATTAGACAGTGAAAATAAATGCTAGACTTATGACTCAAAGCCATAAGTATTCTTCAGTTCTCAAGAATGATACCAAAATAGTCATTATACTTTAATTACTCAAGATAGGAAACAAAATTAATTTTCTTTAGAAGTATTTAATGTATTTTTGATAGTTGTTAAAACAAGAGAGGCTTCTAATAAATCCTCAGTAAATATGTTCTATATCATTTTGAAGTGACCTACAGAAACAATTCCTCTACCTTGACTCTGTCTGTGCGGCTATTGAAAAGTCCAATCCGCCTAATGGTGCTGAGGATGGGGTCAGTGGAGTCATCCATCATGTTGTGAGTGGTCACTGGAGGCAAAGATTGTCGCTAAAGTAATAGAAGAAAATGTTAATTGCAGAAAGAATTGATGTGTGACTAATTTCAACAATAGATCATTGACAACACTTCATCCAAACTTTCTGCCTCCAGTCTTTTGAGATGACACTGAGGACGGTTAAATTTTGTGTGTTTCAGAGGAGGAGGATGAGTTGAAGCGCTGCCTTCAGACACTGTGAACACATGATGCTTTTGTTTTCCACCTGCAGCCACTTAATGAAAGGCCAAGACATCTTGTCTTCTCCCAGCTCTCATTCAGAATACGAGTGTCCTGAAATCCTGACTCAAGAAGAGCTACTCTTTTGGATCCTTCTAGCGGGGCTGTCTTCTGGTGCCTGATCCCTCTCTACTATGACAAGGTTTGGGTGCATGCCTAACACAACACTTACCTTTTCTTCTTTGCTACAATTCCACTTGACTGAGGAACATTCACCTTTTCTCTATGGTAACTCAAAATTCCAAGCTTTTAGAAAAATTTAGGATTTTGTTGTCATTGCAATATACACAGCTTTTCAATTGGATATAATGGTTCTAAATAAATTTAAACATTTTTTCTTTATTAATTTTTAGAGACTGAGGAAGGGCAACGGAGAGAGAGATAAAAACATCGAGCCCACACCCTGAGCACGTGCCCTGACCGGGAGTCGAACTGGTGACTTCTTGGTACATGGGTTGATGCTCAACCACTGAGACACACTGGCCAGGCCCAAATAAATTTTTTTTGTGTGCCGGGGAGAGCACAAACACAGTCTGCCACTACCACAAATTATGCAGTGAGCTTTTCACATTTGGGGAAATCACAAGACTCAACACACCCAGAATGCAATGGGTGAGCCTCGCCCTGGGAAAACCACTTTGGGGTTCTGATATCTTCTCTGCCAAGTAACTATCAAAGAAATTTTTAATAGGATGCAAGAAAAGCCCTGAAAACCACTCATAAAAGAGAATATAAAGTTGTCATTCAGGTGAATACATAAGAATGACTTTTTGGCAATTGAATTTAAAAATTTCACAAATTAGCCCATTCCAATTAATTAAAATATTGATCTACATCGATTTTAGCAATTATGGGAAGTGGAAGGCACTTTTTTCTTTATTACCTGAGTAGAAAAGATGGCTCTTTTCATAATTGTTAGATCATCTCGATCCAAAATATTGCTCATATCAGGAATGTCTCCTCTGTGGGGAAAACAATGATAATAATAAAAATAAAAACAGCGAGCATCGATTCAGTACTTCTTATGTGTCAGGCACTCTTCTAAGCAATTTAAAAATAAAAGTAAATATAGATTACTGATGAAGCTCACACACTAAACTGTGAAGTTTGATTAAAGATAGAATAGAAACATTGAAATTCACTTTTGAAGAATCATTCATATTGACCATCATGGGGATGCTCTCATTATGTTTTGCCTATTACTGAGTACTATGTTCTAAAGTGGCCATAACTTGTCCATCTGTAAGTTGATACATTTACTGGTAAAGAGAAATGATGCTCTCCTGCCTCTATGGGTCAGGAGAAAACATAGTTTTCTCTTCATATTGTAGCAAAATTCATATAGTATTATAATACATTTTTTATTTTATTGTTTAGATGTTATTGTATCTATAAATTTATATATCTCATATATTACTTAAGTAAATATATATTAAGTAATATTAATATGTTAATAAATACATGCTAATTTAATATATAAGTCAATATATTTAGTATATTAAGTCAATATATATTTTTACTTAAAATCTCATGAACTGTCTCTCAGCTTCAGATTAGCATACTATCATTGAATTAGAACCTATCTGCATATGTAAATATATTCTCATTCGTACAAACTGTTTAAAAGTGTTTGTCAGATAAAGAATAAAAGAAAATCTACTGACATGATGTCACATCTTCAAAGGTTATTAATTCCTTTATATTTGGAACAAAATAAATACATTATAGCACTGACATTGTTAAGTTTGAACAGGGACACCCAGGTATTTGACATGGTAAGTGTTCAGAGCACCTACTTTAATAAGGCGTCATAGAGTTTCTTTCCAAACTTTTCCTTCACAGAATGTGCAATGTCCCTGATGGGGGGGAAATAGAGATTTATAATTTAAACAGTACCACAATTTTAAATATTTATTTGTCATGATAATGTTGTTGTTTTGTTAGTGTATTGTTGAAATTACAGGTCTCTTTTGTATAGCTTCTTCTATTATTTTTGCATTTGCCAATCTAGCTTGAGTGAAAAGTTCCAGAGCTGAGGCAGCAGAAAACACCCTGACCAGCCCACAGAGCTAATGGTTTTATTTTTTTGCTTGATGATATTCAGGGGAGGACAGAGGACTAGGAGGAGGAGTAGATGTAGGTATAGATGTAACAAGATTGCAAATGTGTTGATAATTGTTGAATATGTGCTATGGACATGTAAAAGGTCATTATACTAATTTCTTTATTTTTGCCATAGGTTTTTATATTACCACAGTAATTTTTTTTTTTTATTTCAATCCATCTCGGGGGGACATCTATAATACTTTCAACAAGAAAGATAAATTTTTAAAAATTCAACCCATCTTTAAAAATTTCTACAGAGGCTTTATCCTTTCATGGTAGCATATCTGCAAAGTTTTGATAGCAACACAGTTGTGTAGCCATTGCATAATCTAACATTACAGCCCAGCGAGACGAGAACCAAGTAGTATTTATGCTATAATAATCCTAAGGAAAAAAATAGTTCAGGGATATATATTAAAAACCAGGCACATAAAAATAACCCTTTACGTCTATTGCTTGAGAACATTTCCCAGACGTGAGATTACCAGAGCTGTTTCCGCACTGCCTGGCCCTTCAGGGTCTCCACGTTGAAATTGTTTGTCTTGGCAGGCATGATGAAAAACGCCACCACCGTGACGTCGCTTTTATGCACCTAATGAGGGATCAGAAAACACAACAGAGTCAATGACCAAAGGTAAAATAAAACGTGTCACAGATGGACCTTAAACTTTGAAAAAACAGTTTTTAAAAATATCTTTAGATAAAAAGAATACTTTTTATGACTCGCAGAGAAATTGTACCCACCCTCCTGAGGCCTTTTCAGATATTTTCATCTAAACTGGGCTTTCAACAGACAGTTGTTGATTAAAAATTTGAAAATTCAGACATACAGTATTTTCATGGCCACAATGATCTAACATATCTAGCAACTGATATTGATATTACAGTCTTCTCCATGGTTAAAAAAGTAATATAAATGTGAGCTAATACTATAGGGTCAAAATTCGGTCTTTAGAATTTCAGATTGGAAACATAATGAGGATTTAGTTTTGGTTTATTCTATTTTTCCCCCATAGCTTATACACATTGATTTGCACAAAAGATTATTTACGATGTCTTGATTCTCATAATATTGCATTTTCTTTTTTTAGCCCCAAGGGAAAGAAATAAGCATATGTTCAGCAATTCTGTTGTGGCAGGCACTATACTAGGTGCTTTCAATGCATAATTCAACCCAATCTCTATAATCACCGTGCACAATAGACATCACTCTATGTTTTACTAAGATCAGAAGAGAGGCATGGAGGTTTGACACAGGAGTCTGACCTCTTAGAACAGATTATTGGCAAAACTGAGATTAAAACTGGTGTTTATTGACTCTCAAATCTATGGGATTTTCTCCTCTTCCCACAAATACCATTGGTCTAGCATCTCTCAGAAGAAAATGATATACCAAACAGCCATGACATACCATACTCACTTAAAGCATGCATGATGAATGCTCATGTATTCTGGGAATGACTGTCTTCTGAGGGTGGGGCATTTTGCCATCTAATCTGTGTCCTCTGCACTCTAGGGCCTAGCAATCTGTTCAAAAGTCTGTGGAAGCCATAGAATAGGAAACTCCCTCCAGGAGTAGCCAATGTGCTATTAAAAAATAAATGGCCCTGGCCGGTTTGGCTCAGCGGTTAGAGCGTCGGCCTGCGGTACAGAGAGACCCGGGTTCGGTTCCCGCTAAGGGCATGTACCTCGGTTGCAGTTTGTCCCCGGCCCTGGTTGGTCGTGCGGGTGGCAGCCACTCGATGTGTCCCTTCACGTCGATGTTTCTCTCTCTCTCTCTCCCTTCCTCTCTCTCCCTCCCACTCTATCTGTACAAAAAATGGAAAAATATCCTCGGGTGAGGATAAAAAAAAAAAAAAAAAAAAAAAAAATAAATGTACCATAGGGAGAGAGAATGCCTTTGTATTTCTCCAAGGACATAATTATCTTTGATGTCTAGAATAATAGTAAGTGGCTCTTTCTTCATATCTAAAAACAAAGTTAATAGTTAATAAATGTGTGTATAAATTCACTAATAATGTCCCTAAACAATACATATTTGATATAGTTGCAAGTCCATCTCTAAAGTTTGTGAATAGGTATATACTAGAAAATGTGATGAAATAAGATTCAAATAACATAGTCTTTCTTTCTAAGAGGCTTCAGAATCTGGGCCATTTCTACCAGAGCCGAGCTGACACGCCAAGGGGCAAGTCCCCAAGGAGCGTCTGCGCACCTCCCAGAGAAAACTTTTGTTTTCCATTATAATCTAAATAACAGTTTTATTTTCAACAACTCAAAACTGGAAAAACCCAAATATCCACAAACAGATGATGAATAAGCAAAGTGGTATAGTTATAGAACATACTACTTCTCCGCAATATACAGAGAATGAACTACTCATATAAGCACCATTGATGTTTCTTAATAAGCTGCATGAAGTACCCCGGGAGGGGGTGATTAAACACCTTAGGACTTCAATGATATAAGATTCTAGGAAAAATAAACTAATCTAATGTAAAAGACACAATGTTAAGTCTTTTTTTTTTTTTTTAATCCTCACCCGAGGACATTTTTCCATTTTTTGATCAGATAGAGCAGGAGGGAAAGAGAGGAAGAGAGAGAGAAACATTGATGTGAAGGGACACATCGAGTGGCTGCCACCCGCACGACCAACCAGGGCCTCCGGGGACAAACTGCAACCGAGGTACGAGCCCTTAGCGGGAGCCGAACCCGGGTCTCTCAGTATCGCAGGTCGACGCTCCAACCCCTGAGCCAAAGCGGCCAGGGCACAATGTTAAGTGTTATTTTGCCGACTTGGGTTTTTATTAATGTATTTCTTTCTTGTTAAAATGGCTTCTGTAAATCTTTTTTTTTTTTTTTCTTGGTACATGCCCCTAGCGGGAACCAAACCCAGGACTCTCTGTAAATCTTTTTTTTTTTTTCCCTTGGTACATGCCCCTAGCGGGAACCGAACCCAGGACTCTCTGGTCCGCAGGCTGACACTCAACCGCTGAGCCAAACTGGCATGTAAATCTTTTAGCACACATGCTATGATGTCTGCCCTTAGGCGAGGATAAATCTATGTCCAAGAAATAAAAACTTAGTTGGAAAGTATTACAGAGCTCAGAAAAGTTTAGATTGTCTCAGAATTGCAATAAGATCAAAATTTAATACTAATCTCCTGAAAGCAGCTTACTGTTATTTATTCTATATTTTAAGTGATAAGATTATAATATAAGCCAAGAACTTTCTTTTTTTTTTTTTATCCTCACCCGAGGATATTTTTCCATTTTTTGTACAGATAGAGTGGGAGGGAGAGAGAGTAAGGGAGAGAGAGAGAGAAACATCGACGTGAAGGGACACATCCAGTGGCTGCCACCCGCACAACCGACCAGGGCCGGGGACAAACTGCAACCGAAGTACCTGCCCTTAGCGGGAACCGAACCCGGGTCTCCGGACCGCAGGCCGACGCTCTAACCGCTGAGCCAAACTGGCCAGGGCTAAGCCAAGAACTTTCATCAGTAGCTTGACATGGTACCATTTTTATAGTCTATTAGCACAGGTTTCTTTAAAAACATATTTTTT